CAGGCAATGCTCTGGCTATGGCGGATGATTACAGGATAAGTGATCTGTCTGCTTAACCCCTTAAGGACCAAACTTTTGGAATAAAAGGGAATCATGACATGTCACACATGTCATGTGTCCTCAGGGGAGGGCTGGCAGCCTTAGGCCTGGGGGGCAAAACCAGTCAAGTGGCCCATTGCACCACCATATCAGTTCACCATCCATGCCCACCTTTTCCTGGTTTTATAACGAATATTGATGTTATGCTGATCAGTAGCTCTTTGCCATACCCGCTCCTTCACAGCTCTGACTTTCAATGTTGTCAGAGCGCAGGCTGAGAATCTCTGAGCCTGTGCTCCGACTCACTAACTGAGCACCGGAACCATGAGGCAGAGGATATAATCTGACTGCACCTACTGCTGGTGCACTCCAGTGGAACACCAGCTAATCGTTTAAATTGAAAATGTGGTATACCCAGGTTGTGAGCTGTGTTGGCGCCTCTGTTGTCATGGCACCCTGCGTGACCGCACAGCTTGCACACCCCAACGGCTGGCCCTGCTGACACACACTGACGTTACTACTTAGAAATCCCTCAATATTAACACAAACATCAGAGTAAACACCAATAAACTGTGGAAACAGAGCTGATCCCCCCAAATTTATAAAGATTTGCTTACTGCATTTGTTGCAAGATTAAATGCCGCCTCCTCTCTCTTTCTACCATGTGCTGCTCCACTGGCGTACATACCAGGGTCGCAGGGGTCGCGACTGCGACCGGGCCCGGCCCACCAGGGGGCCCGGCCGCCTCTGCGACCCGGTATGTACGCCCAGGGCCAGCCTCTTCCCCTGGGGGGCCCAGGAGCCGACCACCCCAGGGCCCCCCTGAGGCTGGCCCTGCTGACCCCGGGTGGCCGGTCGGGCAGGCAGGCGGGCGCACGAGGGAGCACTCAGTGCTTCCTCTTCAGCTCCCTCCCGCACCGCAATGATACCGGAGCCGGAAGATGACGTCATCTTCCGGCGCCGGCATCCCTACACGGCGCGCGAGGGAGCTGAAGAAGAAGCACTGAGTGCTCCCTCGCGCGCCCGCCTGCCTGCCCGACCGGCCACCCGCCCAGGAGCACCACTGGACCCCAGGGAATAATCCCCCCCAGCACTCCAAGAGGTAAGGAGGCTGGGGGGATTATATTAAAAATAAAAAAAAATCATGTGTGTGTGTTAGTGTGAGTGTTAGAGTGAGTGTTAGTGTGTGTGAGTGTGAGTGTTAGAGTGAGTGTTAGTGTGTGTTAGTGTGTGTGAGTGTTAGTGTGAGTGTTAGAGTGTGTCTGCTAGTGAGTGTTAGTGTGTGTCTGCTAATGAGTGTCAGTGAGTGTGTTACTGTGTGTGTCTTACTGAGTGTGTGTGTGTTAGTGAGTCTGTTTGATGTCTGTTAGTGAGTGTGTGTTTGTCAATGAGAGTGTATGTTTTGCAAGTGAGTGTGTATGTATGTCTGTCGCTGACTGTATCTCTGTCAGTAAATGTGTGTGTCTGTTAGCTAGTGTGTATGCATCTGTAAGTGAGAGTGTGTGTGTCTTCAGCACTTACCTTTCTCCAGCGCCGGACTCCCTTGGCGCTGAGGATCCCTCAGCCTCTCAGCTCCGAATGCGACCGCGCACGCATTCAAACCGCCCATAGGAAAGCATTACTCAATGCTTTCCTATGGACGCTCAGTGTGCTCCTCTAGCGGCTGTCCGTGAGACAGCCACTAGAGGCTGGATTAACCCTCAGTGAAACATAGCAGTTTCTCTGAAACTGCTATGTTTTCAGCTGCAGGGTTAAAACTAGAGGGACCTGACACCCAGACAACTTCATTGAGCTGGTGTGATCTGGTTGTCTGTAGTGGTCCTTTAAAGGACCACTATAGTGCCAGGAAAACATACTCGTTTTCCTGGCACTATAGTGCCTTGAGGGTGCCCCCACCCTCAGGGGCCCCCTCCCGCCCAGCTCTGGAAAGGGGTAAAACTTACCTTTTTCCAGCGCTGGGCGGAGAGCTCTCCTCCTCCGATCCTCCTCTTCTCCTACCCGTCGGCTGAATGCGCACACGCGGCAAGAGCTGCGCGCGCATTCAGCCGGTCACATAGGAAAGCATTCATAATGCTTTCCTATAGACGCTGGCGTGCTCTCACTGTGAAAATCACAGTGAGAAGCACGCAAGCGCCTCTAGTGGCTGTCAATGAGACAGCCACTAGAGGAAATAGGGGAAGGCTTAACCCATTCATAAACACAGCAGTTTCTCTGAAACTGCTATGTTTATGAAAAAATGGGTTAACCCTAGCTCGACCTGGCACCCAGACCACTTCATTAAGCTGAAATGGTCTGGGTGCCTAGAGTGGTCCTTTAAGTGTGTGTGCATCTGCATGCACTGGCGTACATACCGCGGTCGCAGGGGTCGCAGCCCTGTAACCCCTGCGACCAGGTGCCCACCGCCATGTGTTGCGGCCTGGCCCGCGTGGGGGGGGGCCCACGGATCAATTTTCGCACCGGGGCCCCATGGGTCATGTGTACGCCACTGTGCTGCTCTGTAGGCTGGGAGGAAGTGAAGAGTAATCACATTCTCCCAGCACAGCGCCACCTGTGGCTGCATGGGGAACAGCTGGTTAATGTAATGCTTGCAGGACGGCCAGCTGCCGCAGAACCTCTTTGTTCCCAACTCTGCAAAGGGCTCCAGGCACTGCTTGCTGTGAGTGTGAGCCACTGTAAATTAGGGCAAGAGGGCACTTGCATTGCGGTAAAGACGGGTCTGGGCAGGAGGAGAGTTCAGTGCAATCAGTGCACTCCCCTCCTGTGGGTCACCAGTAGACTGGTGCACCTGCCCAGGATCAGAGCCGGTGCAAGGATTTTTGCTGCTCTAGGCAAAATAAAAATGTGCCGCCCCTCCATGTGACTTCACAATGCCCCACCCATATGATCTGCCATATGAACTAACGCCAGTGCTGCACACAGTGTGTGTTTACATTAAAAATCCTGCAGGGACTGGCTATAGACACCAGAACCACTTCATTAAGCTGAAGTGGTTCTGGGGACTATAGTGTCCCTTTAATGTGAGCTACATTATAGATTAGTGTCACTAATAGTGATGTCCCGAACGGTTCGCTGAATTGTTCGCCACGAACGGTTCGCCACGGACTCCAGTCAGCAGACACATTCCAGCCAATCAGCAGCAGACCCTCCCTCCCAGACCCTCCCACCTCCTGGACAGCTCACTAAGAATGCAGCTTCAAAATGGATGCTGTCCAGGAGGTTGGAGGGTCTGGGAGGGAGGGTCTGCTGCTGATTGGCTGGAATTTGTCTGCTGACTGGAGTCCGTGGCAAACCGTTCGGCGAACCGTTCGGGACATCACTAGTCACTAATATCATATTAGATTGCCTACTTACAACCAGATGAGGATGATGATGGGCTGCAGTTTGGCTCCACTGGTCTGGTGTAGAACAGGATCTCTGGAGGCTGTTTGCAACTGTGATCACAAAATTCAATGTTGTGGGAGAATTGGAAGCAGCTCCATTTTTTTGTTGCCACTTATACAGTTCAAGGTCTGGGCCCATAAGGCCCACTCATAAGTCCACTTATATGTTCCACCCACCCATTAGTTCGCTCACGGGGAGTGGAGTGTGTAGGGGATGTATGTGTTATTGTAGAGGGTATAATATGTGTGCTTATGGTATGTAGTGTATAGGGATACCAGTTTGTGTAGGTGATGCAGTGTGTTTGTGTGTAGTGGAAGCAGTGTGTATTTGTGTATAAGGGATGTATTGTGTGTTTCTGGTTGTGTGTAAGGGATGCATTGTGTGAATCTGTGTTTGTATGCATAAGGGATGCAATGTGTGTCTGTATGTGTGTGCATTGAGTGTGTGTAAGAGATGCATTGTGTTTATCTGTGTATGTAAGAAAAGCAGTGTGTGTGTTTGCATGTGTGTGTAAAGGTTTGCATTGTGTTTCTGTGTCTGTATGCAAAGGATGCATTGTCTTTGTGTGTAACGGTTGCATTGTGTGTGTAATGGATACATTGTGTGTTTCTCTGTGTGTAAGGGAAGCATGTTACCCCTCTCTTCTTACTCATTGTGCACTTCCTGTCAGTCCGGCCGGTTACAGAAAACAGAAACTCTGCGCGGAAAAGGAGCAGGGCCGGCGCTACCTGTAAGGCGGACTAGGCAGCCGCCTAGGGCGCCCCTTGGGAGGGGGCGCCGCCAGGAGCGCCGGCCCCGCTCATGCTGCAGCCGCCCGAGCGCTCTGTATAGAGCCTCAGGCAGCTGCAGCTTTTCCCGGGCGGTGCGTCCATGAGGGCGGACCGCACCGCCCGGGCGCAGCCTGAGGAGAGGGGCTGACAGGAGGGAAGCGCTGAGCTTCCTCTATGTAGCGTGGCCGAGCCCAGTATAGCCGGCGGGTACAGGGAGCATCTGTCTCCTGTACCCGGCCGGACTAACAGGAAGTGCACACACACAGAAAGGGGGGGGGGGAAATAAAGAAACAGGGAGGAAGGGGAAGAAGAAACAGGGAGGAGGGGGGAGAAGGAACAGGGAGGTAAGGGGAGAAGAAACAGGAGGGAGGGAAAGAAACTGACAGGAGGGGGGGAGAAAGAAAACAGGAGGGGGGGAGAAAGAACTGACAGGAGGGGGGGAAAAGAAACTGACAGGAGGGGAAGAAAGAAACTGACGGGGAGAAAGAAACTGACAGGAGGGGGGGAGAAAGAAACTGACAGGAGGGGGAGAAAGAAACTGACAGGTGGGGAGAAAGAAACTGACGGGAGGGGGGAGAAATAAACTAACAGGGAGAGAAAGAAACTAACAGGGGGGGGGGAAAGAAACTAACAGGGAGGTGGGGGGAAGAAACTAAGGGGGGAACTAACAGGGAGGGAGGAGACATTGACAGGGAGGGGAATTGACAAGGAGGGGGGAGTGACAGGGGAGGGAGGGGGAATGAGAGTAACAAGGGAGGGGGGGAGAAGAGAGTGACAAGGGAGGGGGGAGAGATTGACATCCATCACACACACACACACAATCACACACAATGCACCCCTTACACACAAAGACAATGAACCCCTTGCACACAGAAAAACACACAATGCATTACACACACACGCAATGCAACCCTTACACACAATGCATCCCTTACACACACAGAAACACACAATGCATTCCTTACACACACTCAATGCACCCCTTAAACACACTCAAAGCACCCCTTACAGACTCACACACTTCATCCCTTACATACACCTTACACATACAAACACAGATTCACACAATGCATTCCTTACACACAAATCAGGACATCCCCTACACACTCTACCCCCTGTGAACAAACTCATTGGTGGAACATGAAGGTGGACCCTGGGACCCAGACCTTGAGCTATGTAAAGGGCCCCCAAAAAATGGAGCTGCTTCTCGTTCTCCCAGAACATTGATTTTTGTGACCACAGTTACAAACAGCCTCCAGAGATCCTGTTATACACCAGACCAGTGGAGCCAGACTGCAGCTAGAGCCCATCATCATCCTCATCTGCTTGTAAGTAGGTAATCTAGTATATTATTCGTGGCACTAATCTCTAATTTACCTCACATTAAAGAAACACTATAGTCCCCAGAACCACAGCAGCTTAATGTAGTGGTCCTGGTGTCTATAGCCTGTCCCTGCAGGCCTTTTAATGTAAACACAGCGGCACTGCAGCACTAGCGTTAGTTAACATGGCAGGTCATATGGGTGGGGCATTGTGATGTCACGGGGGGGGGGCGGCAAACTTTACTTTTGCCTAGGGCGGCAAAAATCCTTGCACCGGCCCTGAAAAGGAGTTTCTGTTTCCTGTAACCAGCCGGACTGACAGGAAGTGCACACTGAGTGTGCACCTTCCTATCACTCCGGCCGGGCACCGTGGATCGGAGAGGAGCTCAGCCACACTACAGGGAAGGGGAGAAGCTGTGCTGTGTCATCTCCGGCCCGTGTCATGGTTGTCACTTCCCCCCTCAGCATCCGCCCTGCTGTTTCCTCTCCCATCCCCACATCTGTTTCCGTCCCCGCCTTTTTCATGGTGGCCCCCAGTTATCCTATTATGACTGTTGTTTAAATGATTGCGTTGCACCAGGCCATCATCATGCTGCTTCCCCTGCAGCCTCAGGCCATCACCCTACTACATCACAACTAGTTTCATTTCAGATAGCTAATGCAAGCACACCTCCTGATACTGGCGTTGCAGCAGCACAAGCCCCGGCTATATCTGATATAGTTAGCTTTCACAGACAGTCCCCTGATAATGGCAGTGCCCCACCACGGCCCACTGCTGACCATCACAGTGCCCTACCTGCTGTGGATGGTGCCACTTTGATGTATGTTACCTTTAATCCATCCCAAGCAGCAACCCTTGTAATTTCTCTCCGTGATCCAGAAAAGCAACAAATGCCCTTCTTTCGAAGGATTGCTGAGATCCATAAAATGTTAAATGTGAATCAAAATGTAACACTCCTCTATTTCCAGTAAAAAAGAAAACTGAAAGGGGTGTGGCGAAATTAACCTCTCCACTTGTGCCTGGAGAGGACTACTTGCCAGCCTCTTGCCATGTGATTATGGTCCCTGGGAGGTTTGGCCCTTTAAATACAAGATTTGAGCTAATGGATTTATACTGTGCTGCTGCTGGCCCTTTAAGAACCGTCTGGGGACCTATTGAGACTTTGTGTGACAATGCCCCTTTAAGACTATGTCCCCAGTGTCCCCAGACTGTTAAATAATGTGTTCCTGGCTTTCTCCCACTTGGTTCAGTAAATGTGGCTTACTGAACCAGGTACCACACAGGTGGATCACCCAGAAGTGGAAGTGTGCAGGCAATTTACCTCCCAGGCTGGGAGCCTGCTGTAGGTAAATTGCCGAACGCTGGGGGGGCCGCCATTCGACAAACGAACACGTGGCGGCAGCCATCTTTAATTAAGCTGAGGTTTTACCTTCTCCAGACTTCAATGCATTCGACAGTTCGAACGCCATTAGACAGTTCATTTGACAGTTTATTCTGTTGTCGTTCGTCTGTTTGAACTGACTTTAACATGGGAAATAGACCGACTGCACAGCCTGATTCTCTGGAACTGTTTTGGGCATGAAAATGTGCTTGCGGTCGGTCAAACTTGACTTATATCTATCTCCAGTAGCTCTTACCAGTTCCTATGCTCTTCAAAGAGCCATCTCCTCAGCCTCAGTCCACGAGGGCTCCTGGTCAGGTGTGACGGGTGGTGGACCACTTTGGCAAATGGTCTTGATAAATTAGTAAACAATGGGGGTGAGTGGCAGTTTTTGGTGGCTGTGTTATTGGTGGGCCCGAGACTGGTTAGGGTCATGACATGAGGGCTCTCTTCTTCTGTTCAGCATGGCAGCCCAGTCCCTGGGCGTTCTCTGTCCGCGTTGGGGCATAGGTTTTTCAGGGTGTAGGGTTGGTAGGCCCAGTTGGGCTGCAAATTGTTGAGCTTATGATACTTGGCGCAGAGTGTATGTCTGGTTATCTTTCCGGACCATTAATTTGAAGGGGTGGCACCATGCGTATCAAATCCTCTGTTGGCTCAGGGCCTGAGTGAGTGTCCTGAGTTCTCGCCTCTTCCGTAGTGTGGTTGGAGCTAGGTCCTGGAAGAACTGGACCTGGTGTCCCTCTATCTGCAAAGTGATGTCTCTGGCGGCTTTCATGATGGTCTCTTTAACATTGAAATAGTGCATGTGCACTAAGATATCTCTTGGTTATGCATTGTTAGCTGATGGGGCCCTGTGTGCTCAATCTATTAGCAGTTCAGCTGGGTGGTAGTAGGCAGCAAAATGTTTTCTTTAATGTGGAATGGAGGGTGTCCATGGTGACAGTTTCAGGGAGCCCCCTGATTCTAATATTGTTCCTTCTGGACCTGTTAATGAGGTCCTCGTGGGCATTTTCTAGTATCCGTACTTACTCTCTGAGTTCTTGTAGAGCCCTGTCATGTGTGGAGGTTGTGGTGGAGAGGTCCTCCATTTTTTCTTCAACTGCTAGTGTGCGTTTGGTTCGGTCCTCCAGGCCCTCTCTTATAGGGGCTAGGTGTTTAGAGAATTCTACTGCCATGTTATCCTTGATCTCCTGCAGGAGTCCCCTGTGATCCTTCCTGGTGAGGGAGGAGAGGTCTTGAGAGCGGCCTGCCTCACTTATGTCCGCGTCGGAATCCGTTTCTGGCAGGCCCTCGCCACATGGGGAGCCTTTCTCATGGCGCACGCACCATGTCTGGATTTGTGGCTGCCGCCTATTGTGCTTGTTGGGAGTGCCTTCAGGGAGTCGGCGAGGGGGTCACAATCGCTGTGGGGTAGGTGTTTCTCACTGATGTGAGCTGTCGGTGTGGAGCTCTAGGGAGATTTGTCCATCTTTGCTGGAAGTCAGGCACCGCCCCCGTAGGGTTTTGTTTAAGAGATGAAAGAAAGCGATTTGCATAGGGTATGTGTATTCGTATAAGTGCACCACCTCCACCAGATAGAAGACACTTGGGAGTTATAGATTGCACTCACAAGATATAAGTGATTAAATGCCTCCAAACCACTCAGGGCTTTCTAAATGAGTTAACAGTATGCCTTCTCCATTTGCGTTATCTGCAGGAATGCTTGGGGAATACTGGTGTAGGTAAAATAAGAATTTATTCTAATAGTGTATATATAAAAACAAAAAGGTCCTACAAATTTCATCCAGTTGCCTTGGACTTCCTCATGGACCATTCACATTTAAAACATAAAAAATGTATAATAAATGTCCCAAACAAACGTGTCTCCCTTGAGCATTCCTGAGAAGAACGCAAACAGAGTAAATGAGTAAACCCTGAGTGGTTTAAATATGCATCTTGGACAGATTTTTACGTAGATTGATGCCCAAATATAAAATATATGATTCCCCCTAGTCGAAGTCAAATTTATCTTTTAGAATATCCAATTCTTGCCATGGGATAAAGAAGGAAAGTGGGTTTAGTTTGTATTCAGTTTGTAACAAGAAATTTCACCAAATTCTTGCAAGATAGACATTAATGGTGGTACCGAGGTCAAATGATTTTTCAAAGATAGCATTATGTCATCTGCAAAAGACCTATCTAATGTTCTTCATCTCCTACTAAAATGCCCTTAATATCTGCGCATTGTCTCATTGATTCAGCCAGGGGCTCCATTGCCAACACAAATAAAAGCGGCGACAACGGACACCTCTGTCTGGTTCCATTAGATAAAGTAAAATTTTAAAAATTAAGCCAGTTGCAGATACTGTAGCCATTGGATTACAATATAGCACAAATACAGCCTTGATGAAAGGATCTGGAATATGAAACCTCGACCTAACCTCTCTCAAGAAATCCCAATAAATCCTGTCAAACACCTTCTCGGCATCTAAAGATAAGAGCAGAGAAAACGTGCAATTTAATTTAATTTGGTGTATCAAATTTATGAAACGCCTCGTGCTATCCGGGGCCTGTCAGTTCAAAACAATTTGTCAATTAAAAATGTGAGAACTTTTGCCAACCGATTAGTCAATATTTTAGAGTATAATGTTGTATCATTATTTATGAATGAAATTGGGCGGAAATTTGTAACATGAGTTCGGTGTTTTACCAGGTTTAGGTAATGTTATAATTTGAGCACACAAAGACTCCCCTAGTATTACTCCATAGGTCCAATAATGGTGAAATAAATCAGATAAATAAGGCAGTAAAAACACCAGAGAAGGTAGTAAGAAATTGTAAAGCTACCAGATCCTGGAGCCTTGCCAGCTGTAATGGAGTCTACAATTTATTTTTGAGATATGGGTGAATTTAGCGATTCCAATTTGTTTCAATAGGACTCTATCTAGAAACAAGTGATTTTTATCCATTGAGGGCTGCGGCACTGTTGGATCTAATGCCAAACTATATAATTTTTTTATGATAATTAGCAAAGGCATTACTAATTTTTATTGTATGTGTTATTTTTGCACCATCTACTGTCAATAAGTGCTCAGTTCTAGACTGAGAGGGTCTATACCTTAGCTTTGAGGCTATTAGAGAAGAGGCCTTATTTTAGGGGTAGGCAACCTTCGGTACTCCAGATGTTGTGGACTACATCCCCCATAATGCTCTTACACCCATAATGCTAGCAAAGCATCACAGGAGGTGTAGTCCAAAGAGATATACACCAAAGGTTGCCTACGCCTACCTTATTTCCTTCGGAATAAAACGTTTGTTTGTCTCCCTTTAACATCAAGACCGTACGTTCCAACTGAATTATATTTATTTTATTTTTAATATCGGAACTCATTGCAGCAAGAGAAGAAGAAGGGCCAAATTTAAATTATATCATTCTTTCTCTAATTCTTTCAACTTTTTATATAGAATTTTCTTTAAGTATGAAGCCTGCTGTATAAAATTACCTCTTAAGACAGCTTTATGGGCATTCCATACAGAAGTAATTTGTACATTTGGAGTCAAGTTGTCCCTAAAATAATCATTAAACACTTTCTCAGCAAGTGTCTTGCTCTCTAATCCCTTAATTAGATAGTCGTTCAGTCTCCATGACCTATTAGAGTTCATCTGAAGGTATTCTTCTATATGTAACACTATAGGGGCCTGATCCGACCAGGTCACATTTAATATATTAGACCTAAGAATATAGGGAATATCATGTTCTCTTGTCAAACAACTGTCAATACGAGAGTACATAAATCTGCCAATTGTTTATTTACATCATTTTTAGGGATATGATTATTTTCTCGAATAATATCTTGATCACAATCTAAAACAAAATTTATATAAACCCCCAATAATCATTCTGCCCCTAACATTTTCTGAAACTTTTGAAGTTATTTTAAAAAAAAAATGTATATTGCCCATGGCTAGGGAAGTATACATTCACCAAAGTGTATGTCACTTTATTCAGTGTGCCCTTCCAAATCAAAAATCTACCTTCCAGATCAGTAACCACCCCACCGGTGCTACAAGCCACATCCCTATGAAAAAAAATTAAAACGCCTATAGACTGGATAATGAAACATATATTTGTTTTTAAATAATTAAGAGCTAAGTTGTAAATATATTTAAGTATACTATAAAATAAAAATACAAATGTGGTAAAGGAGAGAAAGAATGAGAAAAAAAATGAAAACAAAGAAAACTAAATCATTCCATTTCTCTTTTCCCTTCTTTTCTCTTTTCTCTCTTAACTTTATAATTAAAAGTGAATTATATAAAAATGTATCAATAATATTGAAACGTGTGTATTTATATTTCCATTTAGGAAAAACTGAAGCCCCATTTGAGTGTTTTTCTTAATATCCGATAAAGAAAAGGCTATTCAGGAGCCTTAAAGTGGTAGCCGCCACCATCCACACAACCATTCTTAGCATGTTAAGTGTATATTGTTATTCTACTTGTAAATATTGTTTGTTTTATCCTGTTATATACTTGGAAGGTTTGACCGTTTTTTTTTTCTTTCTATCAATAAGATTCTGTAATTAAGCCCATAACAACTTAAACTCTTTTTCAGGAAGACTATGTACATCACAGGCAGGGGAGGGCTGCATAAAAAAGCAATTTAACTCCTAAATGGCAGAGAAGTGAAAGTGCAGTGACATGATCTGTACCATAAAACCGTTTCATTACCCTAAAGTTGTTTTGGTGCTTAGAGTGTCCCTTTAAGAGAGTCATATATTTTTAGCACAGCTTTAACATAGTATATGTATTACATTTGCACACAAAGGGCTTTGCAAATAAATAACAAGAACACAAACACAAACAATACATTTTGTGAAACGCAAAAAAAACATATAACTAAATGATATACACACATTACACACACACAGACACTCCAGACAGCTTAAAATTGTTTTCAAAGTCTCATGATCATTCTCTTGTTTGAGTTTTCTTTGATTATTAAGTAAGTAATATTTATTTGTTTAACATTATGTGTGTATCTAATTCTTTAATTTCAACTTGTTCTCATGCATGTCCACATTTGCAGACACATAATTTCATACTGAGGAAGAGGTAAGAGATATGTACTATATCTCAAGTGGGAAAGGTTTGGTTTTCCCCAGTTAGGATAGTGAAGTGGGAAGTCATGCTGCAGCTGTTGGGGAAAATGTATAATTAAAATAAGCTTCACTCAGCACTGGTTTTTATCTACACTGTAGTTTTAATTTAAAAAAAAAAAAAAATTTAGTCAGCGCTTGATTGGCATATCTCACAATCTGGGATTGTCCAATGCTAGCTTTAATTACATTGAAATGCCTTTGCTGATCACATAATTGTATAACATTAAAAGATTTTGTGATGTATTCTTTCAAGGACGTAAGAGGAAAAGTTTTATTTTAGAAGGAAAGGAAATGTTTTTTTACTTGGCTGGACTTGGCTACATACATGAAAATGTCATTGATTACAGATTAACTTTGACATTCATTGGCAAAATAATCTGAAACAGCTTCTTTAACTTGAATCTGCACTGAGAGAACTTCAATATGTATGTATCTGCTTAATGACTTTGATCTGCAAACATAAGTTGCTTGGAAACACACAGAAGGTAATTGTATGAATTCCACACAGGTTGTTTTTTTTCAAGTTATTGTCAGTCAAAATCAAAGTAATTTTATTCACTTACCCATATAAAGGAAAATTAATTCCCAGTTTAATGTCACTAAGGATTTTTATATTTTTTTGTAGAAGTTGGCTCTATTTTGTATCATAGCATCTGATCTATATGCAGGAGTCTCTCTGTGTATTCTCACAGATGTTTTTCTTATAACCCAGAAAAATTAAATGATGGTATCACATATAACTTTGACAAGTAACTGCTCAAAATTCCCTTTCTTCAACTGAAACTTAGAGTGATCTATAGAGTCTGTTCTGTTGTTTTTAGTACCCACCCATTTCCCCTTTCTAGGTTTCCCTTGTATTTGGTAGATGCATTTAAAGACTGTGCAGTTCTACACAGAGAGTGTTCTGACTATATACTATACACACAATCATAGCAAAGACAAGTTCTTTATAATGCATATAAACAATTTACATTGAGGCAGACAACAATGAACGTGGAAGCAGAGAGAAAAAAAATCACTAAAATGAGTAAGACAAAATGTGGTAATTCCAGAGGGAGTCATGCAACGGTTATGCAGCTGCTGTCAAAGTTGTTTATATTGTCTAAATATACTGAGGTATTAAAATGATCCTGTCCCTAATAAAGTTATATTGCCTTTGTACCAGTATTGCTTTGCTATATACATTGTAGATAGCAAGAGACTTGGCCGATGTCCCCTGTAGTCCAGTCAG